GCATCAGGCATGATTGGTTACCACTGATCACCAGAACTGAAAAGGCAAAGAAAAAAAAGATATTTAAACAGGGTCAAAGCAACAATTTTCAAAAGTGGCTTGCCTACTTTAATCCTGTAAGCTTCAAGTTTATTTACAACTCCACAGGGATTTGGATGTAAAGAAAAACGTGATTTGGTATATCATATATACTTTTTCAGTTTTTCAGCAATTCATACAGTTAAATTTGAAAAATAACTTTTTACACTAAACAATGATTTTAATGAAAAATGTTAAAGAAAACTTACTTCTTTAGGTTTTCCGGTCTTCTTAGCACTGTTTGTTTTGTGATCACCTCAATATTGATTCATATAGAAATCAAGCTGGTTTAAATAATAAACAGCGGAAGTTTAAAAGATCGCCGAGTTAGTCATAAACAGTTTTATATTGTTATACACAAACCATTGATCGCAATCTTTCAGTTTCTGGACCATTTTCCATTTCACTGAATAATAATATCGAACACTACCAAAAAACAGATCCTCAAAAATGGAGAATATTGTATCTTGAGCACTACGTCAACAGTACTTTATATATCTTTACGTTTCAGTTAATTACTGAAATGATATTACTTTTGTAATCATCATGAGCATAATGACGTAGAAAAAAGACCGCAAAAAATAATTAAGATAACAGAAGTGTTGTACCAAAGCATTGTTCTTCCTATAGCATTTACGTATATCCGCCAACTTTTGTTCAACAATAGCAACATCAACCCAAGTCGCGTTAAGAGTTCTCTCAAACTTTGACGACCATGCCCCTCCCCATCTCTGATCACCGCGTGTGACCAGCTGTTAACTCTCCCCACTGACACATCACAAGACGAAAGAATGTCCCATTATCATCCCTTGTACATCAGTAATTTAAAATTATTATTATTAACATATTCCGTTCTTTGTTTAGCTATAATTTTTGATTTGACTTTCGAAAGCAAATTGAAATAGACTAGGAACAAACTCTGCTCCACTTGCAACCACAAAGACATTTCATTATAAGACCATAAACAAATTAATTACGTTATCAATTCCTGGTTTGTCTTGCCAGAGCATTTTTAATTTGAGTTCAGTTGTGTTTTGACTTCAGGAGCATTGGGACAGAGCTTGTTTGGTGTTCCTGTTCAAAGAATTAAACAACTTCGATGGATTCTGTTTGGATATGTCGAAAACGACTAAATTACATCATCCTTCAGAAGAAAAAAAACAAAAAACATTAATTGTCTTGTAAGGGACAAGTCTCGAAGGGGCCGGTGAGCTGTTACACAAAGATCAATTATTATGTCGAAAGAGTTGTCCTTTAGAACGAATTAATGCTTCGGTGAGTTTCTTTGGAGTGAATCAGAAAGCGTAACTACTATCACTGAAAACAAAGAGTCGCCCTTCCTTATGGTATACACTATGAAATTGTTTAAGTATCTTCAAACAAACAGATTCCTTGAGTTAATTGGTTACTTTATCTACGGCTGCAAACCAAACAAAACTTTGTCTAAAATTGTCACGAGTTGTATACGGATTAATCAGAGCCATCCTATAGGATTTGAATTCTAGCCTAGTTTTGCATGAATTCGCGGTTCATTGCTTTCCGAAAAAGAAACAGAAAATTCTGTGCGGAATAAGATGTATCAATATAATTACGCGCTTATCACGAACAGCTGCAGAATATATTTTCATGCTTCAACTAAATTCATCCTTTGCAGTCAGAACCAACAGCAAAGAGTACAAAAGAATATTGGAAAATTAAATTAACAAATGATATAAACCAATCTTTCTCGATGAATTTAACTCTTGAGAGAGTTAAGACCTTTTAACTGATAATCGATTAGGCCGCTCTGTAAATCCACAGACTGACTCAAAAACTTCATTCTCTTTATTAACAATAAGACGAACCTGGTTAGCGAGGTTATCGACGATTTAATTTAACACCACTATAGAAGCCTACTGCCGGCAATAAACAATTGTATTACTGCTTCTCGAAAAGAAAAACAATTGAATGAGTTCTATACGTTGATTCCCAACCGGCACTGATAAGAATTAAGATATTTATAAATATACCACTTACCGAACCTTGCTTTCTGCGCCACTGACTAACGTGCGCAGCAATCGCGTTTACTCCTCTGGTAAGGCTTCAGCAGGTCTATGCAATATGACACCAGAAACTGAAGTATCTGGACAACGTAATGACAAGCTCAATATTTCGCATTTCCCTTTTCCAGGGAACAACTAATTGACTTAACGAAATGATCGAAGTGAGACTACTTTAGTTATCGATGTCAAGGTAAATTAGAGAAAAGCAAAAGACATTTGAAGAAAATAAACAAGAAAGAAGAAAATTTTAGAAATCCTACTGTCGTCGTAAATGCTGAGAGCGAGGAAGAGATAGCGTCGGAACGAAACTAATTCGCTATTCCGATATATTATTTAAAGGATTATCATAACAAAACGGTTAAACCATTCCAAGAGCGGAACTTCAAAGATTTATTTTCTTTATGCATACTACACGCGAAGGTGGCTAGGCGGAGGGAGCTGTTTGGTAACAATTATATGATGAAAATTATTCCATCTGGCTGTAAATCTGAATTCTTGTTATTGTTGTTGTGTTTTTTTTTCCAACTCCTAGTGTGGATTTCGACTTTGTCAGTCTTACAGTTCCAACAGAGTCGGCGATGTTTGATGGTTACACTACACCGTTTCATTCATATTGCTCATGTATGTGCATCGACTCCATCTTTAAGCACTTAAAGTTGAGTGAGCAGTAGTTCACAATTTCGTTACTTGTAATGCATTTTCGTTCTTTGAGTAAATCGCCGTTTTAAAGTAATTATAGTGTTTTTTATTTTTAGCCTTCAACTCATGTCGCCATTATGCCACTGAAGCAATTTCTATGGTTTTGTCAACGGTTTCTCAAGCATTTGGAGAAGCACATCATGTCTTAAATTTTCTCTCTGAACTGTCTGTTTAACAATGCATACACAAACGGATTGACAGCAGAGTTGCACAACACCATCATGAAAGAAACGAAGACTAAGACAGGGCCAATGTTGTAGGATGTAAATTTCCTTAAAACATAGATAACTGATATGAGTTCATAGAAGATCCCAAAAATGACAGTGACAATGACCATCAAAGTTACTCGTTTCTGCACTCTGTTATCATCCTGTATCAAAAAAACGAAAAAAAGAAAGAAAAATGAGTCAATTCTGTTAACTACTTGTCTGAACCGTGAGTAATTGTCATCCATATTAACGATAATGAGCAGTTCCAGTAATATATCCAGAGGTCCTTTGACTGAACACGCCAAAGAACAAACAAATTTAAGCAAGGCAAATTATCACAAAGTATACTTAGTTTTAATCCAGTGTAACAAGGAGTGTCTTTGGGATAAAATGATTGATTTCATTCGCTCAACAAAACTCGCCGTTTCCGCCATCTTGCCGACGACAAAGTTTCCATCGAGCAGATATTGTTTTTTGTCTCCTTCGTTCCACTGCTAGACTAAGCTCCCTTTTAAGTTAACGTGTTGTTGAATTTCTCTTTTTCCCCTTCTCCTTCCCTAATCTTTTCCTTTCCTCCAGTCGTGGGTTCTAATGTATCACTGCGCCAAATCACTCTCTTGATGTTCTGTCTGAACCGGCGGTTAAGGAGGGCATACATGAATGGGTTGACTGTTGAATTGAATAACACCATCATATCAACAGCTGCAATACGAGTGGGCGTCAATAAAACTAATCTTGTCTAAATATGTCTTGAGAAGACATATCCTCCCTGCTCGAGAAGCAAAGGGAAAAAAGACAAACGAAGTACGTTTTTTTAAAGGATGAACAAATACCGAGCAGCTGTAGTCGAGCGCAACAAAAAGAAGAATTAGTGGCGATACTATTTCACGGTGAGAATAACTTACTTCTCTTCGAATTTGCCATGATCGAAGTTCGATTCAAGTTAAGTCGGAAGTGGGCGTGATTTCTCTGAGTCAGTTACAATTCATAGCTAAGAATAGCGACAATGAGCCTTACTAGGACCATAGACTACGTCAAATCAAATTTCCGCGTTTGTAAAGAGGGTAAAGAACTCGCATTTGAATTATTTGGAAGTAAATAAGCTTTCAATTCTTATAAACTTTGTTGCTTTAAAAAATCAAAAATCAGACATTCCAGCCGAGAAACAAACTCGGTTGCAACACGTGTGCCACTGTTTGTTTTGGTCACACTTTTTCACTACTACTGCGATCTTTCACTACACTTGCATGTGTGCTCTCGCTGGGATGAGATTGCTATAAATAATAACTGCGCTAATAATTTAATGAATTCTTATATTATATTCTTGACCCAACCATGCATGTACATCCAATTGACGATGTGTCCCCTAATTTTGCTAAAAATTCCTTTTCATGGTGTTGGAGCAAAGATGGGAATGTTTGGAGATACATGATGTAATACTAGAAATCTATTCCCCTTTCAGTGATTTTCAAAATGCCTTGAGCCATTTAAAACCATACCGGCACGTAGAGAGGTTGAGAAAGTTGTGTGACCCATTCGTTATTCTGATAACTTATGCCGAAGGGACGCTTTCAGGGAATTATTGTCTAACTCAGTAAACTAGATACGATTACGAATGATGCAACGATGAAAATTGAAAATTATTCGGAATTTTTTATTCTTAAATCTTTTACATCTTCCTTTATTTAACCTGGTTCTTGTATTATGTATTGCAGTGGCAGTCAGTGATCCAGACCTTGTGCTAAGGGGGAGGGCCCGGTTTTTTGTGACTTCCCCTGTCGGCTCTTCTTCCTTCTGCGGCTCTTTTCCTTCTTTTTTTCACCCAAAATAAAGAGGAGGGGCCTCCCTAGATCCGTTACAGTATTACTTTCCTTTGTGGTGTTGTTAAATTTCTCTTTCCACCTATCTTCCTCTCTAATATTTAAGTTCTTTTAATGTGAAGTGATTTTACTTTATCTAAAAAATATGTAACATATTGATAGTGGGGCTCATGTGCGATAAAATAAGCAATGTTTCGTTTCAAGAATCATATTTCAGTAGTGTGTTCATGATCAGAACTTCGGTTTGTAATTTCCTTTCCTCCAGTCCTGGGTGCTAGTGTATGACTACACCAAATCAATCTCTTGATGTTCTGTCTGAACTGATGGTTCAAGAGGGCATACACGAATGGGTTGACTGCTGAATTGAACAACACCATCATATCAACAGCTGCAATATGTTCAAAGGTAATGTTGAGAGTTGTAACAGTCCTCAAGACGTATTCAACTGATTCTGCTCCCCAGGAAACTGCAAAGATGAAACTGACTGCCATAGCCATCAAGGTAACACGTTTCCGAACCTTTATGACGCCCTGTGAGTTGAGAGAAGGAAAAGGATCCCAATCAGCTAAGAGAATGTAGTGAAGTATGCTGTTAAATTTATTATGAAAAAATTGACTCTTCTTCACTACAAGGATATATACCACGTTGAATTACCAAAAACCTTTTTAAGATATTACCTTAGAGGAGACTTTTTCAACTAAAGGTTCAGTTGTCATTTAGAAAGAATACTTTCTAATTTTAGCCACAAGAATTGTTTCCCTAAGTCTTCCTGTGTTTAATTTTCCCTTATTTAAACGCTTACTTTTTGCTGATAGTTGATTCCTTTATTTCCATCGCATTTGAACCACAATGTGCACATGATAATAGAATAAAGGACAACCATTATTCCCACAGAAACGACAACCAAAACCAACCACGCCAAACAATAAGCCGTGGACATCCACTTCTCATGATCAGGCCAACTCAGAACACAGTTTTTGCTGGTTTTCTCTTTGTCGAAAGTCCTAGCCAAGAACAATGGTATGTTGAAAAATGCAGAGAACACCCAAGCGCCAAGAACTATTATCTGAAAAAGAAAGTTTAAAAAGGGGTTTCTAAACTTTGTGAAATTTTATTTTCACAATGACTATGGTGAGTTCAGAGTTATTCTAAGCTCTTTACCAAGTGATTGGCAGTTAGATGGACCGGTGGCTAAATTGATGGATGCGCATTTTGAATAGGACTGGAAGATTTTCGACATTTTTAGGTGTCCGTTGGTTTTTCAGGGTTGACGAAAAGACTTACCTTCAGTTTGCGCCGTGAAAGATTCTTTTCTCTGGCAATGGGATATAATACTGCGTAGTATCTTTCAAAGGCAATTGCAACCAAAGTGACAACTGACGAAACTCCTGCAACCCAGGCTATATTTCCACCTGTCAAAAGCTTGCAAAGTACCACACCTGCCAATCCGTCCGGGTGACTCATGTTGAAGCTGACGATAATCTTTGGTGCGATGAACAATGCGAATAGGATATCAGATATGGCCAGATTCAGAAGTAAATAATTTATGGGATGTCTGTATTTGAAAATGAAAAATCCAAATTATAAATGATCAAAAGTCAAACTCAGAAACGCTCGGACAAGGAAGAAACAAATC